TTTTTTTTTTTTTTCAGCTCAAATTTTCACTGCTGTCTCACAAACAGCTGAAGTTTCAGTACTGGAAATCACATCTGGTTTCTTGATGATGCTAAGAAATTCCCCAAACATTTAGAAAATATGTCAATATGGTAACCCAAAGTGATATTAATTCTGATGGGGGCCATAGACCTAATGTTTATGTATTTAGAAGTAGAAAAATTATTGCATGAACAGAAATATTTGACCTAAGTCAGAATGGAAATGTAAGTTATGCATTATTGTTATGTTTATGTATATGGCACACTTAAATAAGCCAATTTTAAAAGTCAATAAACCTTCAGGTTGTATGATACCAGGCTAGTTTTTAAATGTTCTTAATAATCAGATGGGATACATACTTTCTTCCTGATTAGTATGGCCTTAATAATTTAGATTCAGATAAACTAAAAAATTGTGATCAGCCTAAAGAGTTAATGACTCTTAACCAAGAGTTTCACTGAACCTATTTTGCAGAGTAGTTAAGAACCAGAGATTCAGACAGATTTTGGTTAGACTCCAGATTCTGCCACTCACTGGCTATGTAACCATGGTCAAATTACTTCCTAGTGCTCTTATAAAGATTAAATGAGATATTACCTCATTTAAAAGTGTTGAGCCTAGGGGCACCTGGGTGGCTCAGTTGGTTAAGCGTCCAACTTCAGCTCAGGTCATGATCTCACAGCTCGTGGGTTCACAGCCCTGTATTGGGCTCTTTGCTATCAGTGCAGAGCCTGCTTCAGATCCTCTGTCTCCTCTCTCTCTTCCCCTCCCCTGCTCGTGCTCTGTCTCTCTCTCTCTCTCTCTCTCTCTCTCTCTCAAAATTAAATAAATAAACATTAAAAAAAAAAAGTGTTTAGCCTAGTGCTGGGCATAGAGAAAGCATTGAGTAAATATTATGCCCTGTCAAGAACCTTATAAAAGCTTTTGTGTCTTTCCTAAAAAATGTAGTATTTTCCTCCGTATTTTCTTTATTGAAAAGAAGCATGGAAAGGATGAAGCAGTCTCAGTGTGTAAATATTAATAGATAAATAAATCTATTTATATACATATAAATACAAAAAACATGCCTCACACATACATGTATTTACAAATATACACCCAAACAGATATATATACCTACTTTGTCTTGGTTGTACAATTTTACTGAGGGGAATAATCTTTAATAAATTCAACATACTGGTAGTATGATGCTGTGTGTGCTTGTACATGCCCTTTCTATGCATATATAGAAGACATAATCGAGGACATTTTTTTGTTAAAGTCTCATTCAATATTAAATAAGAAATAGGTATACTTATCAAAAATGTCATCATTTCATGGCTGTTTTATTATGCTATCTTAAAAGATATTCTTTTGTCTCTTAGGTAAATTGGTGGATCAAACTGGACAATATAAATACATGTATATCGCCTGTGGAGCTATTGTGTTCCTATCAAGTGTGTGGCTACTTATCGGCAATGCTATAAACTACAGATTGCTTGCAAAGGAAAAGAAGCTGGGAGAAGCAAGGAAGAAGAAAATGAGTTCGCCTGAGTCCAAAGAATCTGAACCTTTGAACAAATCTAAACATCATGATGTCAGCATCAAAAGTACAAGAACAGAGAATAATCCCTCAGAAAGAGAAACTAATATTTAATAAGAATCACATCTCTGATTTCAGTGTTTATGACTTTATTAGGAGTATTTTTTTTTCAAAATATTGGAAAGGTTTTTACTTGAAATGAGAAGTCATAATTAAGGATGGAAGTGAGATTTTCCTCAATGGCAAATTTTTATAAGTTTGTTTTTTAAAACTTGTTTTGGTAGTTAAAATTCGAGGTTATGCCTATAAAGAATCCATGCAATGGGTTTATTTCCATACGTGACTCTGGTTGTGGTGGTTAGAGTAATTGTAGAGTCTTCCAGTGACTTCTGGTCTTGGTTATAGAGATCTGAATCCCAAATCCCTGGTTTAAATAGCGAGAAGGAATACGTTTAATCAAATAAGAATACCCTGTCTAGATTTTAGTTTTCAGTGTTAGATGGAATTGAAGGAAAATGAATTTTCTTCTAATGTGCACATGCACACACACACACACACTCACCTGTATTTACACACATGTGCACAGAGTATCTAGAGGACAAAAGACAAATAAGTTCAGAAAGAATATCACTATACTTTTTTTTTTAACTTTAAAAACAAATCCGTGGAGAGTGAAGAAATGTATTAGGTCTGCATACTACTTTGTAGTGTAGATTTTAAATATAAGAACATGGGTGAAATGAAGATGATCTTAATTTGAAAACGCAATTAACTGCTGTAAAAAATAAAAGTATTTGCATATATAAAATAAATTTGAAAAAAAAACAACCCTCCATTTTAAACCATTATTTCTGAGTACTGTTAAATTTGATGAATCCATGCATGTAGTTTCTTTGAGGATGGCCATTAGTACTTGGTGCTAGAGAATAGAACCCTCAAACAATTTTCAGAATTCTTACTTAATATATAAATCAAATTAAAAGCCTAAATGATTCTTAGCAATGAGCTACGTTCATTAATTTTAAAAGGATTTTAGTTGCTAAGCCAGAAAGTAATAAGCAGGGATTTCTTTTAATCAGAACTCAATCCAGACTCCCTGTCATAGACTTCAGAATGGAATCTACCAGAAACCTGGTTGACAGACTGACAAATAGGCCAAATTCTAATTTTTCCCGGTCACGTAGCAGTGATCAGAGAGTTACTGTTATGAGTGACCCATCTGAATAAAGCTGACTAAGAGTGAGAGGTGCTTCTACTGAGGCCTCCAAGTTCTCCCATTTTTATCCCCTCGCCAAAATGCAAAAGCGAAACAGAGAAACCCAAATGGGCCTTTGACTCCACCACTGAGATTCCTCACGTTGTGGGAATGGCAGCTCTTCAAAATCCCACCTACTCCCAGTCAGACTTCCTGCTGCCAGTGAACATGACTAGGAGACTGTTAAAGGTTTCTAGAACTGGAAGCTGTATGTTAGTTGGCATATACTTGTGAAGGGTAGGCATAGTTTATCATACGATAGTAAGAAGCTTGCAGCATTGTGGGCTGGGTTAATATAGCGGTTTCTCATTTTCATAGCGATGTTAAAACATCTGAGAATCTGAATCACCCTTGAGTATGGAAGCATATGACAGTTACTGTGCGCTCAGAACTATAAATACAATTTAGAGTAATAAAGTACTTCTAAACAAGGAAGAATTTGTGCCTTATGGCTAATGCGATAAGTATTTATATTAACAAATCTAAAGTTTAAGCATATGATTAATAAAAAACATATAGTGCTTGATTATTGAAGTGATGTTACTATTAAGATGTTAAAATTTTTTTTTTTTTAATTGCTGTAGAGGCAGGTGCTATTCTTGTTTCTTATAAGAGTGCACCTGGACACCAAGCTTTTGTGATAGTTAATGTTAGGGATTTGATTTGTAAAATTTATGCACTGGTTAAGCATGGGGCTCATATTTAGGAAGCTATAGAAAATTCCACATCTCATTTATCTTTTTTGCAGATGAAGAGGTATTTGTATTTTTTAAATATTAAATACAACAACTTGTGCCAATATGATAGGTAGATAAATCAGGCAAAATGTGGCAGTGTTTGGCTGTCTTTAATTTAGTTTTGCCCAGTCTTGAGTCTTGAATGAGCTGTTTTCATTTTATTAGTGCTTTTGTATTCAACTCTGATTCATCGTAAGAAATGCAACATGATAAATTGTGTAGTGGCTGTCCAATATTAAAGATTTCCAAAAACTGTCTTCAGATTCTCTGAGGATACCTATTTAAATTAATACAGATATAATATCCCAGGGGGAAATAAACAGCAAAGTATTGATAGTGGGGTTTTGTGCCTACGGCCTTATAGTCCTTTTTGTCACTTGCTGGTACAGATAAGCTGGTGGGTGCATTCCAGTGCCTTCCTCCATGGAAGGGGGTTTATTCACTTACTGATGAGGTTTTTGTCAGGTCAAAACCGATTCGAATTTGTTGTGTTGGTCTTTGGTCATCCTCATTAAATTTTCATTCCTAACACTGTATATAAGATTGTTAAAAAGAATGGGAAGTAAAATTGCACAAAGCACATGATATGTATGTAGCCATACCCAGCAGTAGCATTACACAACGTTACAAAATGTGCAGATATTAATTCCCATACGTACATGTTGGAAATTAGATCAGAACACACCTGAAACACTGACACAGACTCATGTACAGGATTGAGAATTGTTCCAGGGTAAAGTAATCTTCTAGTCATTCACTCTCCACTCTCTTGAACTTGTTAGAATACCTGTTGCTTTAAGAGAATCTTTGGAGACTGAGCAGAAGGTACCAACCTAGAAATTCACATAGTTGTGTAACTAGAGGAAGCAGTATAGTTGGCCTCTGAGTCTGCAGCAATTTGCGTATTTCTTCCCCTAGGGAATGATGGGTTTTAGATGTTCAAGGTGTCATGAAGCAAATTCAGAATATACATCATTAAATTTCCTTTTAGTCTCATTCTGTCACTGAGGAATTGTGCAGAAGGGAGGTTATAAACCAAGGTGCCAAAATAATTAATGATCACTGGATACTTTTAGGTATTTTTTCACTTGTGATAACTGAGCAGCCCATGTCTTTCACAATTTAACCTTAAATATGCCTTCACTAATTTATGAATCGAATATTGGGTTTAGGCTTGTCCTGACCTATCCCTACTCTCTTTCCTTTTCTGGGTCAGTATCTAGTGTATTTCACATTGGAAGACCTGATGTTTTCTCAATGTAAATTCACAAGGCTCATGAGTTTCACTTCTTTAGTATCAAGTTCCAACCACCCTATCTCATGACCCATCCCCTGAAACTAGAAAATAAATAAAATAATTGTCTGATATATTTAAATGTGCACTTTCAACATCTAGGCACGTTTTTTCACTCCTCCTTCTGTGGCTGTACATGACAAATGAGGATACAGGAAAAAGACTTCAAGATATATGATATAAATGTAAGTTTTTATATTGATGTCATAAAACGTAGAGATATCCCTAATCACTTAATTCAAAATAATTTTCCATCCAAAAGGACCTTTTAAAAAAAGGCCCTCTCAAATGTATAATGTTGCACACTTTTAATAAAACAATTAAAAATCATGATCATTAGGATGCATTTAACAGGGAGAAAGGATAGGAAGTGAAAAGAGAAGTAATATTTATAGCATGCATTTTGGCTACGTAATACCTTTTAATATTCAAACCAAATTATAAGTAGAGGCTATTGGCCTGATATAATAGATGAGAGAAACAAAACCAAAAAATCAGACACACAAAGTTCAGCTAATTACCCAAAGTTGAAAAGTAGTATGTAACAGAAATAGAACTAAAACTCAGGTTTATCTGAGAGCAGAAAGAGCCCCTAGGGTGTTCACTACCATGCTTTCTTCCAATAGAATCTATAGAAGCAAAGGTAGATAAAATATGGATATAAGAAATTTAAAACCTATATGGTAAACTAGTTAGGTTTAACTGTAATTTGTAATCTGATTTATTTAGTGTTCATTAGAGACTGTTTGCCATAAACTGAATATATAATTTCAAGTTGCTTGCTTTTCTAGCCCATGAAAATTATCCCAAATAATGGTAATGATTGTATAATAACCCTAATTGTTTTAATACAGCTTTTTTTTCATAAAAATAATGACATTTATATGACTCAGACATAATATATTTTCCCTGAGGTTGGATTTAGAAGGAAAATGTTATTTTCTTTATGGATAAATAATTCCCATATTAGTTGCTACTTATTATGACTCAAAAATAAAAAGTACCTTATACAAATCATATTCAGAGATACAGAGATTCCCATTTATAGGATCATCCCAAGCTATCAAAGAAATTTAGAAAGATTGTAAGATATAATTGACTTGATTTATCTATAAAGTATTTATTTTCCTCATTGAATGCAACTGCCCCTTAAAGCCCTAACTCATTTTTCAAGTTTCCTTGAGCATCTGTAATTGCCATTCTCCATTCTGTCCATTTGTTCTTTAGACAGAAAAGTGTCATTGCTTTTGTCCTTTCCCTCTAGACTTTTGGCATCCATAGAATATTGTTCTCAAA